TCTCAGATGTACGGGACACACCCCAGATGTATAAAAAGAACATTCCTCCACTTGTCGTTGTTGTGAGGTGCCGATGAGTCAGTTCCAACTCACAGCGACCCCATGTACAACAGAACGAGACACTGCTGGGTCCTGTGCCATGCTCACAATCGTTGTTATGCTTGAGCCCACTGTTGCAGCCACTGTGTCAATACATCTCATTGAGGGTCTTCCTCTTTTTCCCTGACTCTCTACTTTACCAAGCATGACGTCCTTCTCCAGGGACTGGTCCTTCCTGATAGATTACGTGTCCAAAGTACATAAAACGAAGTCTCACCATCCTTACTTCTAATGAGCATTCTGGCTTTACCTCTTCCAAGACAGATTTGTTTGTTCCTCTGGCAGTCCATGGGACACTCAATATTCTTCACCAACACCATAATTCAAAGGCGTCTATTCTTCTCCAGTCCTTCTTAGTCATTGTCCAGCTTTCGCATGCATATGAGGTGACTGAAAACACCATGGCTTGGGTCAGGCGCAGTTAGTCCTCAAAGCGACATCTTTGCTTTTTAACACTTTAAAGAGGTCTTTTTGCAGCAGATTTGCCCAGTGCAATACTACCTTTGATTTCTTGACTGCTGCTTCCATGGGTGTTGATTGTGGATCCAAGTAAAATGAAATCCTTGACAACTTCAATCTTTTCTCCGTTTATCATGATGTTGCTTACTGGTCCAGTTGTGAGGATTTTTGTTTTCTTTATGTTCAGGTGTAATCCATCCTGGAGCCTGTAGTCTTTGATTTTCATCAATAAGTACTTCAGGTCCTCTACACTTTCAGCAAGCAAGGTTGTGTCACCTGCATATTGCAGATTGTTAATGAGTCTTCCTCCAATCCTGATGCCGTGTTCTTCATACAGCCCAGCTTCTCAGATTTGCTCAGCACATACAAACTGAATAAGTATGGTAAAAGGATACAACCCTGACACACACCTTTCCTGATTTTAAACCATGCAGTAGCCCTTTGTTCTGTTCAAATGACTGCCTCTTGGTCTATGAACAGGTTCCACGTGAGCATAATTAAGTGTTCTGGAATGCCTATTCTTTGCAATGTTATCTACAATTTGTTCTGATCCACACAGTCAAATGACTTTGAATAGTCAATAAAACACAAGTAAACATCTTTCTGGTATTCTCTGCTTTCAGCCCAGATCCATCTGACATTAGCAATGATATCCCTTGTTCCACATCCTCTTCTGAATCTGGCTTGAATTTCTGGCAGTTCCCTGTTGATGTGCCACTGTAACTGTTTTTTGAATGATCTTCAGCAAAATTTTACCTGCGTGTGATATTAATGATATTGTCTGATAATTTCCACATTCTGTTGGATTAGCTTTCGTTGGAATGAGTACAAATATGGATCTCTTCCAGTCAGTTGGCCAGGTAGCTGTCTTCCGAATTTCTTGGCGTAGATGAGTGAGCATTTCCAGCGCTGCATCCGCTTGTTGAAACATCTCACTTGATATTCCGTCAGTTCCTGGAGCCTTGTTTCTCACCAACGCCTTCAGTGCAGCTTGGACCTCTTCCTTCAGTACCATCAGTTCTTGATCATATGCTACCTCCTGAAATGGCTGAACGTCAATCAATTCTTTTTGGTACAGTGACTCTGTGTATTCCTTGCATCTTCTTTTGATGCCTCCTGCGTCGTTCAATATTTTGCCCATGCTGTTGTCAGGTCGCGTCGAGTCAGTTCCAACTCACAGAACGAGACACTGCCCAGTCCTGCGCCATCCTCACAATCACTGTGATTCTTGAGCCCTTCGTTGCAGCCACTGTATCAATCCATCTTGCTGACGGTCTTCCTCTTTTTTGCTGACCCTCTACCAGCATGATGTCCTTCTCCAGAGACTGATCCCTCCAGATAACATATTCAAACTATGTGAGACGTAGTCTCGCCATCCTTGCTTCTAAAGAGCATTCTGGTTGTACTTCTTCCAAGACAGACTTGTTTGTTCTTCTAGCCGTCCATGGTATACTCAATATTCTTCGCCAACACCACAATTCAAAGGCATCAATTCTTCGATCTTTCTTATTCATCGTCCAGTTTTTGCGCGCATATGAAGTGACTGAAAAGACCATGGCTTGGGTCAGAAGCACCTTAGTCTTTAAGGTGACATCTTTGCTTTTCAACACTTTAAAGAGGTCTTTTGCAGCAAATTTGCCCAATGCAATGCGTCTTTTGATTTCTTGACTGCTGCTTCCAAGGGTGTTGACTGTGCATCCAAGTAAAATGAAATCCCTGACAACTTCAAGCTTTTCTCCGTTTATCATGATGTTGCTTATTGGTTCAGTTGTGAGGATCTCTGTTTTCTTTATGATGAGGTGTAATCCATACTGAAGGCTGTGGTCTTTGATCTTCATCAGTAAGTGCTTCAAGTCCTCTTCACTTTCAGCAAGCAAGGTTGTGTCATCTGCGTATCACAGGTTATTAATGAGTCTTCCTCCAGTCCTGACGCCCCATTCTTCTTCATACAGTCCAGCTTCTCGGATTATTTGTTCAGTATACAGACTGAATAGGTATGGTGAAAGGATACAACCCTGATGATGCACATACTTCCTGACTTTAAACCACGCAGTAGTTCCTTGTTCTGTTCAAACAACTGCCTCTTGATCTATGTACAGGTTCCACATCAGAACAATTAAGTGTTCTGGAATTCCCATTCTTCGCAATGTTATCTCTAATTTCTTATGATCCACACAGTTGAATGCCTTTGCATAGTCAATAAAACATAGGTAAACATCTTTCTGGTATTCTCTGCTTTCAACCAGGAATTCTGCCCATAGACTCTTTCAATGTTGCAACTCGGGGCTTGAATTTTTTTCTTCAGTTCCTTCAACTTGAGAAATGGTGAGTGTGTTCTTCCCTTTTGGCTTTCTAACTCAGGTCTTCGCACATGTCATTAAAATACTTTGTCTTCTCAAGCTGCCCTTTGAAATCTTCTGTTCAGCTCTTTTACTTCATCATTTCTTCTATTCACTTAAGGTACTCTACATTCAAGAGCAAGTTTCAGAGTCTCTTCTGATATTCATTTTGGCCTTTTCTTTCTTTTCCTGTCTTTTTAATGACCTTTTACTTTCTCCATGTATGATGTCCTTGATGTCATCCCATAACTCATCTGGTCTTCGGTCATTAGTGTTCAGTGCCTCACAGCTATTTTTGAGATGGTCTCTAAATTCAGGTGGGATATACTCAATGTCATACTTTGGCTCTTGTGGACTTGTTTTAATTTTCTTCAGCTTCAACTTGAACTTGTATATGAGCAATTGCTGGTCTGATCCGTAGTCAGTCCCTGGTCTGGTTCTGATTGATGATATCAAGCTTTTCTGTCATCTCTTTCCTCAGATGTAGATGATTTGATTACTGTGTATTCCATCTGGCAAGGTCAACGTGTACAGCTGCTATTTACATTGTTGAAAAAAGGTATTTCCAATGAAGAAGTCGCTGCTCTTGCAAAATTCTATCATGCAATCTCCAGCGTTATTTCTATTACTGAGGCAATATTTTTCAACTACTGATCATTTGTCTTTGTTTCCAGCTTTCACATTTCAATCACCAGTAATTATCAATGCACCCTGACTACATGTTTGATCAATTTCAGACCACAGAAGTTGGCAAAAATCTTCAATTTCTTCATCTTTGGCATTAGTGGTTGGTGCATAAATTTGAATAATAGTTGTATTAACTGGTCTTCCTTATAGGCATATGGATATTATCCTATCACTGAGAGCGTTGTACTTCAGGATAGATGTTGAAATGTTCTTTTTAACAATGAATGTGATGCTGTTCCTCTTCAATTTGTCATTCCTGGCATAGCAGACCATAGGACTGTCTGATTAAAAATGGCCAATACCAGTCCACTTCAGCTCATGAATGCCTAGGATATCTGTATTCAAGCGCTCCATTTCATTTTTGACAACTTCCAATTTTCCTAGATTCATACTTTGTATGTTCCACGTTCTGATTATTAATGGATGTTTGTAGCTGTTTCTTCTCATTCTGAGATATGCCCCCATCAGTATACGAAGGTTCTGAAAGCTTAACTCCATCCACACGATTAAGCTCAACTCTACTTTGAGAAGGCAGCTCTTCTCCAGTTGTATTTTGAAAGCCTTCTGATCTGAGGGGCTCATCTTTTGGCACTATATCAGAAAATGCTCCACTGCTATTCATAAGGTTTTCACTGGCCAGTTATTTTAGAAGTAGATCACTAGGTCCTTCTTCCTAGTCTCTTAGTCTGGAAGCTCCACTGAAACTTGTCCCCCATGGGTGACCCTGCTGGTATTTGAAATATCGGCAGCATAGCTTCCAGCATCACAGCAACATGCAAGCCACCACAGTAGGACAGACTGACAAACACGTGGTGGTTTCCTCCACTTACCTAGTTTAATCCTCACCATCACCTTGATGGTAGGTATTACTATCCCCACTTTCCAGTAAAAGAAATTGACGCTCAGAAGGTTAAGTGACCTGCTCTAGGTCTCCCAGGTAGTAAGGGGTGCAGATGGGACTCAATCCCAGTGTCTTGACTATGGAAACCCGTCCTCCTTCCACCACACTATGCTGGCCCCCTAATTAAAAAACAAAAAAAATTTGCCATCGAGCTGACTCCGTCTCATGGCAACCCCATGTGTGTCAGAGTAGAACTGTGTGCTCCACAGGGTTTTCAATAGCTGGTTTTTCAGAAGCAGATCACCAGGCCTTTCTTCCAAGGTGCCTCTGTGTGGACTCAAATCTCCAACCTTGTGATTAGCTGCTGAGCATGTTAATGGCTTGCAGTACCTAGGGACTCTGGCCCTCTCATTAGTTTTAAAAAAAAAAAAAGTCAAGCTAATTTATCAAATCCACCCTAGTTAGAACAAGTTTTATAAGAAAAGGAGGAGGCATGTCCAGAGACCTCTGAAGCACACATAACCACGCCACCGTGATGGTTCTGTATTTCCGCAAATGCATAAACACGTACGTACTCAGCTTCTCAAGCAGCTCTCTCAGGGTCTGCAGCCACAGGTTACACAGTTGCTCTTCAATACACCAGAAAGTCACCTGGGCCCGCTTCCAGCGGTGACGCCGAGCTCGCTTCACGCAATGCACTGTGCAGAAACAAAGGCACTCATGAGCACACAGTCGCAGCCTCTCCGGCAAAGCCTCACGTGAGCTTGCTTCAAATGCATGTTCATTTTCAGCACACAACTAAACATTTCCCAGGGGTTCTCTTTTCTCCCAACTAGCTAGTAACTTTCAAGGTATATTAGAAAAAAGGTCCCATTTTCAGATCTTTTGACCCATACTAAAAAAAAATTTAAAAAAAGAAAAAAGATGATCAACAACAAAAACATTCACTAAAAGCAGATCCTGGGAAAGCAGATATTAGGAAGTTTCTAATAAAGATAAGAAAACGGCAAGCTTGTTTAAGGAGTCCTGGTGGCACAGTGGTTAAAGTGCTCAGCTGCTAACCAACAGGTCGGTGGTTCAAACCCACCAGCCACTCGATGGGAGAAAGACGTGGCAGTCTGCTTCCGTAAAGATTTATAGCCTTGGAAACCCAATGGGGCAGTTCCACTCTGTCCTACAGGGTCGCTATGAGTCTGAATTGAGTTCCCTCTCCTGTACTCAGCATGGAATTAATGAAGAACCGTGGGAGAAGATACTTAGGATTTATCACCTGTAAAAGCATGAGGCTTTTCCATTTTCTGCCATTTTCCACTGGTGTAGTGCTTCCCGTTAACGTCTGATTCTTCCACGGTGATGATCTCAGAAATAGGCACGGAGCAGGCATCTGTAAAGACACCACACTCTTACGTCTAATGAATTCATCAGAGAGGTCCAGCTCATGTCCAATTAAAGAATCCAACTCTACGATGCTGGCAATACTGTGTTTTAATATTCTCCTTTAAAAAACCACAAGTAAAAAGTAAGGTTATATGTCATTTTTTAAATTCAGAGCTAAATAAATACGGGAAACTCAAATGTGATTGGAAATGGGGTGTTTTATCCAACAGAACCACCAAATGTATGCTGAACAGGGAAACGCACGGGCATGCCCCCATCTGCTCAGGGCAGTGCAGACCAACCCGTCTGCTCAGGGCAGTGCAGACCACCACGGGATGACAGCCAGTCCACGGAGAAACGCGTGGGCATGCCCCATCTGCTCAGGGCAGTGCAGACTACCGCGGGATGACGGCAGGGCCACAGAGAAACGCTCGGGCACGCCCTGTCTGCTCAGGGCAGTACAGACCACCATGCGGGGTAGCCCCAGAGTCTCACGTCTGCAGCGCACGCTGACTCCTGCCGGGTCACATGCAGCATAAACGCCCCCGGGTATACCCATCACAAACTGCTAAACACTCGGCCTTCACTAACGACAGAAGGTGAGCTTGCCCGTGAAAATGACGATGAAGAGGGGTACTTCTGCCCACAACTGCCTAGGAGAATACAGAAATATCACGCAGATGACAAACTCAATCGAAGGGGTCAAACTGCTGCTGTTCCTTCCCTGCCCGCGAGCCCCCCTCTGCAACCAGCTCTGTGTGTCTGTCTGTACCATTGACATCCCATCCAGGGTACAGAGCTGAGCTGCTACCTCTCCAGGCAGGGCACCCAGGTCTGTCAGGGTGGTAACGAGTACTGCTCCCCCGCTGCTAAGAGCATCCCCAAGGGAAGCCCCCTGTAATGCTGGAGTGGCTTTGCAGACCACCTGATGGCTGGGGTTACCCCTCAAGTTCATCAGCACCTGCTTCAGTTTGAAAACAAGACGGGACAAGAGCCTGCCAGTTTACACGCCCAAGAGTCAAATCAACAATCACGTAGTAACGTCCACCACGTGGCCACTTGGTCTACTACATGGGAAAACAGTGGTCAAGGCAGGTCCCTGCCTCAAACCCACTGAGTACCAGTGTGAGGCTGTGACCCAGGAAGAAGGCGGCCACACTCACGGCCTCTAGGTGGGCAGAGTGTGGGCCAGCCGGCTCTGCTGGGCCTTACCCAGCACCCCACAGGCCGCTGTGGCCCTGCCTGAGCGCTTTGCATGGAAGAACCTCCGGGGACCCGTCTGCAATTATAGACGAGGAAACGGAGGCACTGACCGGTGTGTTTCAGGGCCACCCCACACCACGGCCCTGTGTTACTGGTGGCCTGTGTCCCTCCTAACAGCCGGGGGGCCTGCCCCCAGAGCCCCACACACACACTCAGGTGTCCACGCTGCCGCGTTCCGCTCAAACCCCGCTCTGAATAAAATGGATGGCCAGCGGCTGCCTGGGCCCTTCTTGTGCCGGCTCTCCCGTGACTTTAGGGGCTGGACGGGGCAGCATCATTTACAACTGCAGTCTCAACTCAGAAGAGGAAAAGGAGGGAAGAAAGTGGATTTCTCATGAGAACAAAGGGCATTTTGAGGGCAGAACATAAATCCAACCAGTTTTCAATCTCTCTTCAAGTGTGAGATATTAAATAACTTAATTTCAGTCCCAAACATGCAAATCTGGAAACTACTTCCCCGGCTCCCCTGTTCAACCCCAGGTAATTCTCAATGGTTTTTTCCGATAAAGAAAGCATCTTCTAACACCGTAATGTTCCTAGTTTCCACCCTGTGTCTGTCAGTCTGTCCTGCTGCGGTGGCTTGTGTGTTGCTGTGAGGCTGGAAGCTCTGCCACTGGTATTTCAAATACCAGCAGGGTCACCCATGGAGGACAGGTTTCAGCAGAGCTTCCAGAGTAAGGCAGACTAGGAAGAAAGGCCTGGAGATCTACTTTTGAAAATTACCCAGTGACAACCCTATGGAACACAACAGAACATTGTCCTATATAGTGCTGGAAGGCGAGCCCTTAAGTTACAAGGCACTCACATACACAGTGGTGACAACAATGGTCTCCAGCAGACCAACGACCTGGCAGAACCAAGCAACCCTTCAATCTGTTTTACATGGGGTCACCATGAGTCAGAGCCGACTTGACAGCAACAACAGCAACAGATCTGTAAACTCAACAGAAATGGGAAATTAGTCCTGGAGTATAATGTTTCCAAATTAGGACCATTCGGGATGGAAGGGAGGAGGCGCGTCCTCCAAGCTCCAGGACAAGGCAGGCGGCGGGTGGTTCGAAGGCGGTAAGACAGACAAGGCCACGTGACCACCACCTGTCCCACTCACCTACCGAAGAGGTAGCAGGTATTGTCATGCAGGGACACACTGAAAGTGTGGATTTTATGTGAAATCTCTAGATTTTAGAGTGTTGGCTGCCGTTCAAAACCGAAACACAAAAAAAAACTTACTGTGCAAACAAGTCAGACAAAAAACTATCCGTGTGAAGGCCACTGTCTACTGTCTGTCGTGGGGAGGGAACGCTGTTGTTATTAGGTGCCGTCGGGTCAGTTCCGGCTCACAGTGACCCTGTGCGGTTACAGCGACCACGTGGATGACCCTGTGCGGTTACAGCGACCACGTGGATGACAGATGAAATCTCTGCCCCTTAACTACAGTGATCTCACCCTGTCGAGCCTGGCCCAAGACACTAAAGCGAAATCAGATTTCTATCATGAAAACAAACCAACGTAGCTCCTTATCGACTTTTTACGAGCCTTGCCCCAGGTTACTTGTCCAAAAGAGGCATGGCAGGTCCTGTCAGACTCAGCAGACGCCGTGTGTCAGAAAAGTGCTGTTTACTGGTCTACCTGAATAAGGAAGTGTGCTCTGGCCACCCTTTCTTCTTCGTGGTTTACTTTAATAACAAAATATCAAACTCTGAGTACAGCCTAACTATGATAGGCTCACCCATACCATCGATCATGGGGATGGGGCGGGACCGGGCAACATTTCGTGCTCCTGTACGTGAGGTCGCCATTACTCAGAGCCGACTTGACAGCAACTAACAACACAGCCCAGCGAGCCCCTGAAGTTCCTGAAGTTCAGATGAGGCCCCTGATCATTACAACTTGCTGTTATCTGAACCAGCACGTGTGGCCTCTGAGCCTTGCCTGCATGCCCACGGGTGTCTTCTTCATTCCCGGGACACATCTCGGGTGATAGTAGCCGCCCCCACTGGGACCCGCCCCGAAGGCCCTTCCGTGCCCCTGACCAGCCCGGCATGCGTCTCTGTGTGCTGGGCCTGCCCGCCAGCTGCGAGCCTGGCACCGTGGTGGGCCCAAGGCTGCCCGCGGACCAGCCCTCCTCTGCTGTCCTCTCCCCAGTGCCGGAGCCAAGGCCAGCCCGAGTTCTCCATCTCTCTTCACGGCAGCCAAAGCAACAGCGTGAACTCGGGCGCAAACCTGCTGAGGCCGAAACCCGGCTCTGGCCCCTCCCAGCTGTGTGAACCTGGACACGTTACTGTGAGCCTTGGCTGCCTCATCTGTAAAATGGGGATACTCGGGGATTAGCTGGAGCATCACAGGTGGGGTGCTTAGGGGAGTGCATGGGTCCCGAGCTGTGTGATGCCCGTGAGCCACAAGCATATTCGCCTTGGCCCTGACATCAGTACCATCCTGTACTGCCATTCAGCTGCAGGTGGGGTAAGCCTTCTCCGAGACTGTCCTGTCCTTGAGGGACATTTTTTTTTTTTTTATTGTACTTTAGATGAAGGCTTACAGAACAAATAGTTTCTCATGAAACAGCAGTACACATATTGTTTTATGACACTGGTTAACATATATTAACAACCCCACAACATGTCAACCCTCTAACTTCTCCACCTTTTTTTTTTTGGTGAAAATATACATAGCCAAAAATACACCATTTCAAAAATTTCTACATGCACAGTTCAGTGACATTGACTACACTCTTCCAATTGTGCTGCTATTCTCGCTTAAGACGAAGGCTTACAGAACAAAATAGTTTCTCATTTAACAGTTACTACACATGTTGCCCTATGACAATGGTTAACAATCTCACAACACATCAACAATATCCTTACTCAACCTTGGGTTCCCTATCACCAGCTTCTTGTCCCCTTCTGCCTTCTGGCCCTTGTCACCGGACTACTGTACCTCATTAGTCCCATTTGGTTTTATGGGACTGTCCACTCCCCGGCTGAACGGTGAACCTCAGAGATAACTTCACCACTGAGCTAAAAGGGTGTCTGGGGGCCATATTCTCAGGGTTTCTCCAGTCTCCTTTAGGCCAGTAAATCTGGTCTTTTTTTTGTGAGTTAGAATTATGTTCTACATCCTTCTCCAGCTCTGTCCAGAACCCTCTGTTGTGATCCTGGTCAGAGCAGTCAGTGGTGGTAGCTGGGCACCATCTAGCTGTACTGGACTCAGTCCAGTGGAGGCCTTGGTAGCTGTGGACAATTAGTCTTTCAGACTAATCTTTTCCTTGTATCCTGTTCTCTTCATTCCCCCTTGCTCCCAAAGGGATGAGACCAGTGGAGTGTCTTAGATGGCTGCTCACAGGCTTTTAAGACCCCAGACACTACTCACCAAGGTAGAATGTAGAACACTGTCTTTATATACTGTGTTATGCCGATTGAGCTAGATGTTCCCCGAGACCATGGGAGGGACATTTTTTTTTAATTGTGCTTTAAGTGAAAGTTTATAGTTCAAGTTACTTTCTCATACAAACATTTATACACACATTGTTATGTGACCCTAGTTGCTCTCCCTATACTGTGACAGCACACTCTTCCTTTCTACCCCGGATTTCCCGTGTCCACTCAACCAGCTCCTGTCCCTTTCTGCTTTCTCATCTTGCCTCCAGACAGGAGCTGCCCATTTAGTCTCATGTATCTACTTGAGCCAAGAAGCACACTCTTCACAAGTATCATTTTATGTCCCATAGTTCAGTCTAATCTCTGA